AACAGCTCCGTGTCCTTCCTGTGCGGGGGCCGCGGGGCTGGCGGCAGCGCTGCGGGGGGGTCTCACGGAGCCTCTTTGCGACACCCGAAATAACTGTAACGCCAGGCGCGGGGGGCCGCGGCCGGGGCTAAGGCGGTGCGGTCCCATCCGCGGTGCGGTCCCCTCGGCGGGGCGGTCCCTCCCGCCGGGCCCGTGGCCGCCACAGCTGTGTTTAAAGGCGACATGACAGAGCAGACTAATTTGTAAAGCTAAACTTGATTTTGAAGGAAAAAAAGCTAATGTTTGAAAAAACACTTCAAAAGAAGACAAAAATGATTAAAATAGACATAACCATTTGTTTAAACTATGACTTTCTCAAGAAAAACCAGGCTAATGTAAACTGGTCTATGCATAGTCCAAGCAGCTGTTCTGTGTAGCTGTTACACAAACCCCTGGTTTCAGGGAGGGATAAAATTAAGATAAAACAGGTCATTCTCAATGAAGAAGCCAAAGTAAGGACTGGATTACAAAACAATTGTGCATACACAGGTGATATTTGTCCCAGCGTGCCAGAAGAAAGCGGGCCAACTTTTTTTTACCTACTTGCCTTCAACTGGGTTTTAGCCATGTGTATCATTAAAGTGTTTGGTGTATTTATTTTTGTCCACGCCTTCAGCAAACCCAGAGCCAGCACTGGCTGAGGTTAAATGAAATTAGTCTATTTCCTACTGTAGACAAAGACTTTCTCAGGGGTTTTACGGAATTTCTTTCTAGGTTATTGAAATGCTACTGAAGTAAATGAGATCTATATATTTCATGGCAACTACCAGGAGAGATTTTCTGTCTTTGGTCAAGGCAGTGAGAAACATTTTAATCACCTGTATCATCATCATGCTATTTCTGAGAACAAATGCTTTGTAAAGAGGAAAACATTGTCACATGCCCAAGCACTAGTCATACAGCCTTTAATCTATCTTTGAAATCTCATTTGAAACCCTATTCATAAAATGTTTTCTATTTACTTGATTCATCTGAGGCTTGTAAACTGTGTTATCTTCGCAGAAAAGAGCTGAACTGAGTGAGTCAGGGTGGTGATATCATGGTGGTGAGATGACTCAAGTGGGTCCTAAGTCAGCTTTAGAGTCTTTTGAAAATCAGAAGTAAAAGCTGGCAGCAGAGAACAAAGTGCACAACAAACCAGTGGTGGGGTAGAGAGCAGAAAAATGGGGGTTCATGCAAACTTGCTCCACTGAGGAGAACAGGTTTATTTGTTTCTGGGTCCAGACTCAGATAGTAACTACAATAACCCAGGCTGGACAGGATGGACACAAGTACCCATAGTCTCACCCAGCTTAAGGTTTTGATCTTGAGTGCTCATGAGTTATTGTCAGCCCCCATTTAAGAGGAACAGAGGTCTCTCAAGTGAGGTTCCCCTGCAGTAGGCCTGGGACAGCATTTACTCAGGATAGCAGCTGGCAAATCTGTGAGGGCCTCAGACCTTCAGTCCTTCTCTGAAAGTCAGAAGACAAGGAGGTGTGATCAAAGTGCAGGTCTCTGTGTGGCTCAGGGTGCTTGTGGGAAGGAAAAGCAGCTAAAGCCTTCACATCAGTGGGGTTTTCCTCCTAAAGGACATTGCCAAATAGATGTTTCTTTCTAATTCTGTCTGTCTTCCAGGATCCAGCTGAAAATGTGAATCTTTTCTTTGCAGATCGGTCTTTCCAAGAGATGCTTAGTAGCAAGGAAAAGGACTCTGAAACAGGTAGGTGGTATGTTGAGTCTCTCAGCTTGTCTTTTTGTACAAGATATATCTCAGGACACAACAGTAAACTACCTGAATATACTACCTTGCTCCTAAACTCACTTTTTCAGTGGGAAACTGGGATATACTTCCAGGAGCAGGGAGGTAGTATTTCTTTACTGCCCCATTAGGCTTCATCCTCAACTCTGGACATGGTTGATGGTCAGTTCTTGCCACTGCATAACACTCAGGAGACCCTCTGGTCTGTCCTGGCCAGTGACCACAGATGTCTAACATGCAATCTCATTGCCAGCTCGGCCTACACTTCCTCTGACAGAGTAGAAGATTTGACTTCTGGCCTTGACAGCTTTGATTAAACTAGTTTACACTGGAAGCAACTACTAAAATTAGTGGCATCCTTCCAGTGCAAACAAAGCTGAGCTTATGTGTGTATATAATTGTATTTAAGTGAGTTACAAGTCGTTTTTAGTTTCCCATAATGTTCTTTGAGGACAGTTGGCAAGAAATTGTCGTTTGTATATCACTGAGAGCTGCAGCTCATCAGATAAAATTTCAGGGAGATTGTATCAGACAGTAGAGATATCCTTTTGAGCACAACTTAAGAGAAATGGATGTGAACCCTTCAACCAACAGGTTTTCCTGTGTCTTTAGCTCGCAGGGAAGTCTGTACAACAGACAATGCAGAGGATGAGATAAGAATGTTTTTTGCCAGGAAGCCTCACCAGCAGGATAATTTGTGATGTGGTTTATGGTGGTACTTCTTTTTTTTTTCTGTGTCTGCTCTTGCAGTGAAGTTTTACATTTTAATAAGACTCTCAAGTGTTTGTTTTTACGAAGTTGATCATAGTGCATACGAAAATGTGACGACAACGCTTGATCTTTCTCCTTTTAATAAACAAGAAAGTAACTTAAACAAAATAAATAACTTTTGAAAGCAGAGCCCTTTTCTTCTCCTTCATCAGATTTTAGCATCAGTTCACATTTGCAAGTGGTATGGTTTAATGTTGCCCGTACTATGAGGGGGTAATACCAAGTCCAGCACTAACAGTTATCACTGAACCTGGAAGGTGTTGAAAAGCCTTGGTTTTCTTTCTGAATTGTTACAGTTATTATTCTCATTAATAACAATGAAACTGATAATGTTGAAGCCAGTCTCCTGGGTTCGCTCCAAAGTCATCAATCCTTGTGCAAGCTCCTTTCTTAACTAGAAAGCAAAAATAGAGGCTAAAGTAGATTTTGGAGATATTTGAGGCTGCAACATGGTTCCTGCAAAACTGCCTTTCCTCTCATCAAAAGGCAAAGACCAGAACTTGAAAAACATGGCTTGTGTTCAGCAGCTGTTTCTTACTTCTCCTGCTCTAGTGTTTAAGAAGGAGAATGATTTATTTTATTTTTTGGTCATTTTTCCCCACCCCGTCACAGTCTCTACCCTGTTAAAAGCACCTGTACAAGTTTGTTCTTCAGTTCGCAACTTGACTGTTTCTCGTTGATCTGGCTGGGAGGGAATGGGGCTGGGGTTGGTGAAACCCGTCCCCAGTCTCCGTGGTTTTGAGTCTTTACCTCAACTGACCAGAAGAGATCAAAATTGCCCTGATGTCTGGTGTCACCAGCTTTCACAGTGGTGAAAGGAGTGGTGAAACTTAAATAATAAACTACTTAAATAGTTTGCTTTCCTTTTTTTGTTTTCTGGAATGAATATTGTAACTCAAGGAGGCCCTTTTCTGCCTTCATGTTCTCAGGAAAGGTTCTTTATGACCTGGCCACTGGCCACTAAGTAGATGGGTGAGATCCTGTTTCTGATATACGGCTAGATAAGAGGTAAAATAATTCTGCATAAGAAAATGCTGGGTTCCTTTTAAGTAATTGTTGAGTGGGAAGTGTTAGTCTACTTGGTCAGTAACGTGGAGACACAATAGATAATCAACATGTTTTTTCAGTAAGGAGGGAGGATATTTTCATTGCCAGCCTCCAAAGAGCTTGTTCCTGTTTTGATTTCTCTTTTTAATAATACTTTTAAAGTACTTCTCTAAATATGTGTAGATGATACATGGAGCAATCTCTTCACACTGCAGAAAATTGAGCACTGTCACATTTTGAACAGCATCTCTCTCATCTAGCAGGAAACTCCTACGCTTGTGCTACCTAACATCAGCCTTTTTCTCTGGAGTGAGTATATTTTTCCCTTTGAAAACAGATGACAGGTCCTCAAATATTTTGACACTTGTTCATTGAAGTCACTGAACTGTGTTGAATGGTATGAGCTGAAAATTAGGCACTCTGTATGTCATGACTGTTCCTTATGCATTTAACCTGCCACATGAGGTAGGTTTTTTATTTTTATTTAAGTCTTGGAGCCATTTGCTCCTTTTCAGAAGCAGCAGTGCAGTTTCTGGAGACATTGTTTCTAAAACATCAAGGCCTTTCTCATGCAGAAAGGAATCACAAAGTGTCTGCAATGATAAAAGGCTTTTTTTCCTCTGGTTTGGTGAAACAGTTCTAATAGTACAGGTTCCTTGACTGAAGGGACGGGTTATCTTGCCCAGATACTGCGTGGGTGTAAGCGAGGGCATAATGAACGTAAGCGCAGTAGAGAATTGAACGCAGTGTCCTGTGTCCTGGGGACCCACTGATTAAACCAGAGAGATTCCTTCCAGTGCTGCAGTACTGCTGGACCCACAGCTCCCTCTTCCACCGGCTCAGGGGCCCGAGGGAATCAATGAGTAGCCAAGTCTATCCTCTAGTTTCCAGGTGGGGCTCTGAATCTGTAGAGGGAGTAGACTTACTAAGTAAGGAGGTATCATTTTTAATGTAGCCACTTTGCAGAAAATGCTTCTCCCCGCAAACCCACAGGTAAGAATTTAGGTTTTCCTGGCATTTGGTCAAAGGTTGTTTGAATCCTGGCAACTGAGAATCGATACTTAGCCCTTTGGGTTAGGGGATGCAGTAGTGCCCAGGTGTGATGCTAATCTCATAGTTCCATTATGTTCTTTTGAACATAAACCCTGGAGAAGTCACTTTGTTCATTGCCACAGAGCTTTGAAAACCAGCGGAGCTTCTAAGTGGTCTCAAGTAGTTTATAAACTGCATTCTTCAACTTTTTGGCATCTGCTGCTTTCTGTTTCATCAAGCCTTCATCAGTGTCTTGGAAAGGAAGGTGGTTATAATTGCACTGATCTTTAAGTGTTTGTCTCTTTTGAATCTTTGCTGTGGAGTCAGAATGGACTTATGACTCATGATTTTCCTTTAATTTGTCCTAGGAATATGCCTTGCCTTATACGCCACAGCTTGCACAGTGCAAAGATCCCAGCACTGAATTCTATGAAGAAGAACTTCATAAATGTTGCAGCAAGTGCCCTCCAGGTAGGTTATAATTCAAACAGCCAAATTCAGTCAATTTTCAGATGAGCCTAGTACGTTTTCATTATTTATAGATCTGAAGAGCATTGGATTTTTGCTGTTGTAATGCACTCCTAGCTGGAACACGATGAAGTGCTGTGGCCGTAAAAATATCTGCAAAAGAGACACACTGTCCATCAGAATTGGGATTCTGTTCCAAGGGGTTAGCAGGCTGCTGAGCTCGTGTAAGCTTTGCACGGTGTTTTGATTAAAGTGTTTTTAAGTCATCATTTAGCGGGGGAGCAACAGCTCACTAAGGGAATTACAAAAATTAGACAATATGTCAGTCCCAAGCCCACTAATAACAAATATATTGTAAAACATGGCATGAGGGAGAGCTTAGTTTCTCTACTTTGATGATATCACATATATAATGGGCTTTCCATTGCACAGGTTAATCTATAATTGCTCATTAAGGGAGTTTTATTGCCTTTTACTGTAAATCTGGCAGTGCAGAGCACTGTCACAGACAGGGTACAACACTCCAGAAACTCTCTGCTTTGAGGTGTCACGTCTCACACGGTGATAGTATTTAGTGACCTTTTGTTAGCAAAAGTTGTCGACTGCAGAAAGGTGGGGGTGTGGGTTTGGGTTTTTTGGGGGGAGTAGTAATGCCATTTGGGTATTTTAATAATAGAGTTTTTGCAGTAAGTTGTCATTATGGTATTACATGAGACACAGCAAAAAACTTGCAGATTTGTCTCATTACGTGCTGAGCTAACAAAATTCGTCTCCATAAATGCTGAGTTCCTGTCAGAGAGATCCGGAAGTTGAAGCAGGAAATCAGTATTTGCTGAAGCAGCCACAGTTACTTGAATTAACCGAAAATGTCTAGATAGATCTGTCAAGCTTCCTTTGTTAAAAACACAGCAGATGAAAGGTGTTAATTCATAGGTAAAACCTTTTTCTGTTATGCTATGTACTGGTTGGTCCATTTCTTCTTAATTTTAATTTTTCAGAACAACAAATTCTGGGCATCAAGCTGTAGGAAGTCTAAAATGTTTATTTTTATCACAAATTTGAAATTTTTTACCATCATTTATCAAAAATTGAAGCCTAAATCATTAGTAGGATGTAGGAAGCAGAGTTCTAAGGTTCAAGTAAGTACATGGTAAAAAAAAGTCTTTGGAAAGAATTCCTATGGCTTACCTCCAGGGCCTCTTCTTTTGGAAAGCAGAGATTCTTCAAATGGCTTCAAAGGCTTTCTTGGAGTCACTCCTGCTTTCCGAGTGTATTTTCCAGGGTATTTCTGTACAGGATGTGAGACATTGACTTTTATCTCCTTCCTCCTTTCAAGCAAGGGGAAAATGTCAACTGAGGTGTTTTCCTTTCTCCAAAATGGATAGGTTTGAGCTCTTATTTACTGATTTCCACCACTGCACTGGACTGTTGTTAGAATCATAGACTCATGGAATGTGTTGGGTTGGAAGGGACCTTTAAAGGTCATCTAGTCCAACCCCCTGCAGTAAGGAGGGACATCTTTAACTAGATCAGATTCCTCAGAGCCTCATCAAGCTTGACCTTGAATGTCTGCAGGGATGGGGCCTGGAGGAGGTGAGAAGCATTGGAGAAACTACCTTTTGTAGCTTTTGGTTTTGTCTGGAATGCCACTAGCCTCAGAAACTCCTTGCTTGGATCTGTTGGGGCTGGGTGACAGTGTTAGGGCTGGCTGAAGAGGTGAAGGGAGAAGAGTGAGCTCGTGTCCTTTCAGCGGTGACAAGTGGTGAAGTTCTAACTCAGGTCTGTGGTAATACTGTATTATGCTTTCTTCACGTGCTGCTTGTAAAGGCAGCAAAGGCCTCTCCCAGACACATCATTCTCGCATGTGCCTGACTTTCAGTTATGAAACACCATCCTGTGTTTCACCACAATTCACAGCTTCTAGGAGGATAAAAAGTTTGTGTACCCTGGTAGCTGCATCTAAGTGTGTGCTGGGGGGGTTTGTTCAGGATTGAGGCCGCTTTGATGTGAATGTGGCTGGAATTCACTGAACTGAATGTAGGAAAAGGGGTCCAACATGAATAACATAAAGGAATCAGAGTTTCCTGGTATATACATGCAGTTTCCTTTAAATCAGTTCTTGCTTGGTGTACATTACCAATCTGATAGTGGCAGTGAAGGGAAGGGCTTTCTACAGCTAAGAATTAAACTTACCTTAAACAATTCCTAGCGATCTTTTCCAGTGAGATGCTTTCTCTGTTTGTTTGTTGGTTGGGTTTTTTTTTTGGTTGTTGTTTTATTTGTTTGTTTGTTTTTTTGAATAGGTCAGTATAAGAACAAGAGCTGCAGTCCCAGCGAGGACACACAGTGCAGTCCCTGTAGACCTGACACGTACACAGCCATCTGGAATCTGTCTCCCCAGTGCTTTGCCTGCTCTCCACCCTGCAGGAAAGGTGGGCTTGAATTGCTAAAGAGACATTTGTGACTTGAAGTGTCAATGAGTGGGCTTGCTTTAACCTGGTCTTTTCTTCCAAGAAAACTAGGAGGTTTTGTCTATGGCTTCAGTGCCATTCTCATGCTTTTGGTACTCATAGGATTTGGGGAAAAGAATGAGGGAAAAGTCTTGCAGGGGGCCCTGCCTCTTTTTATTTCTAAGTCCTAAAAATGTGACACTAATCCTATATTCTTGGAAACTAAGGCACTGCATCACTAGAATAGGTACAAATGCCATCAGTAGAAGAACTTCCTGCTTATACTCCCCAGCCAAGGGAGCTTAAGACCTGACTTGCACAGGGGTAAATGGATAATTATATTTCCAGCATCCAGTCATTCCTCGGTTTGTCTGTGGAACTGACAACAGCAAACACCAGTTGTGCTATTCCTGTATTGTTTTAATTTCTTTTGCAAAGCAGCACAGTCAGTGAGAGCACGCTGGTTCAGTTAAAGCAGCTTAACAGTATATAAAACAGTAGATTGTACCCACACCTGTACATTGGTCTAATAGATCACATGCATTAACTATTTCCATCATACTGTTGCCCATCATTTCTAATGGAAACCAGTGTAGAAAATTACCTGCTTGACTCACTTGCGAGTAAGTGTTCTGGGTGCAGTCTAAATTGTTCAAAGGATCTTTGGTCTCATCTAAATAGATAATGCTACAAAGCTGATTAATTACAGTACGAAAGGTCTCCAGTCACTTTCAATACAGTCGCGTGATCTGCATGGGGTACAGATCCCAGTCCAACACACCCCCTGTGCTGATGAGCACACGTAACACAAATGTGCATATTTATGGTTACGGTACCATACAATGCAGCTGTAGGTACGGAATCCCAAGTGTGAATTCTACAGATGCAAACTTCTTTCCTAGAGAGAGGGAGGAAGCTCTTCTGAAAATGTATTTGTTGGGACATATAGCCTATTTATTTTATTATGGTATGCCAGCCAGAAGCTGCAAAATTGTCTTTGGTTTGTGGTATGTGAACACCACCTCACATTCACTTGGAACATTGCAGGCTGTGATCCTGGATGTTGCTGATGACATACTGCTTTATTCTTGTTTTAAAACCAGGATTTGTGGAGAATCAAACGTGCACTAACTCACAGGACAGAATCTGTAGCTGCCCACCCAATGAGTACTGCATTTCAAAATTATTCGAGATCTGCAAAATATGTAAAGTGCACAAAAGATGTGGAAAAGGTTACCGAGTTTCCAGAAGAGGTAATTTAATTCTGAAGACTTTACACACAAAAGAGTTTTACTGTATGAAGAGGGTTATTTTTTTGAATTAATAGTCCATAAATATTTCTGAATCTGCCTCCAACTCAGTAAATTACAGGAATATTGTCTTTTAATTCCCTAGAGTTACGCATTCCCTACAGTTACTCATTTTGGGCAAGTGTTATCTTAGCAAGCAGGCAGTAACTAGAGCAACAGTGTTCTCAAGAGGCATATCCAAAGGGAAAACATGTTGCAATCTTCTACTACGCTACATCACAGAGTTCCCCAATCCAACCTAATCTTCCTTTGTTTTGCTCTATTGTGTGATTTCTGCCATACAAATGACTCAGATTCAAGACCGCTTAATTCCTGTTTGAATCCTTGAGGTGGGGCTTCAGGTTGCATTTTGGTTATGGTAAATAATGATGACTCTGTGCTGTCCTGCAGAATGAATCTGTCTTTATTAGATGATGAAATCCACCACTAATGATAATGTATATGTATGTAATACTATGTAATGATAATGTATGATAATTAAGATATGTAATAATAACATAGCTGTCTCAAGATGATAAATAATATTTGAAGAGCTGGAACGCTGAATATTTTTAAGAAATTTAGAAGAATTTGAAAAGATACAGAACTCTAGCAGAATAGAATAGGTGATCAGTCTTTCAGGGGTGAGTGAAAAAGCTCATCTCTGTCTGCAGCACCACATTGTAACCTTTTTGGTGGGTTTTTACAGAAATTGAAAAAGACTATCAAGGGCACCAAACTCACAGCTGATTAATCTTCTGACTTGTGTTTGGGTTGGGTGTTTCAAATTAATCTGTTCTGTGACAGTTAGAGACTGTATTTTGTGTACCACCTCGGTATCACTTCCAGGATCTGAACCACAGACCTTGATTATTCCTTCTTGTTTCTCACTAGATGACTAACTGGAGTCTTTGTGTTTGTTGAAAGGCACAGATAGCACGGATACAGAATGTAAACCCTGTCCTCCTGGCACCTTTTCACAGGAGGAATCTTACAACACCAGCTGTATACCCCACAGAGTGTAAGATGCTGTTTCTCTCTAATAGCCACCTTAACTGTGCACGGGGCTGCTTTCTCTCCTAACTTCTCTTTGTTTCTTGCAGTTGTAAATCAGTGGCTGTTCCTGGAAACAGGATAAATGACACAGTTTGCAGCGACTCAGGAATAGCAGTTCCCACCGTTCTACCTCGCACTATTTTGAACCTGCTCCTGACCCAAAGCTCAGCTTCCAGCAAACCTGAAATAATAACCCGACCTGTCATCTTAAACTCTGTACCTGACATGTCTCACATCATCGGTGAGCTGTTTGCTCATTTGAAGTAATTTCTGTCTCTCTAGGAAGGAAGTTTATATTTAGTTCTCAGTTTCTTTCCAAGCCTAATACTTGTAAATTTAGCTTTTGTAGCCATGTACAGAAATCACAAAACAACCTCTTTCTAATTAGATCTTTGTCAGATCAACCTGCTAAATAATTAATCTTTTTTATTTATTTTCAGGATCAGTAGCAGGGCCATTGTTATTGATCCTGATAATCACTATTTTGGGATATTGCTTAGTCTCCAAAAAAAAAGGTAAGATTCATTAAGTGAAAACATTGGAAAGTGTATCACCTTATTTCCTACTAATTTGAGCCTAGTGGTTGACTGACATTAGTGTCTTTGAAGATGCTAAATCTCTTTGAAGCTTTTCTCATAGCTGGATATGGATGAAGTATCACTAATGGGGAGATTCTTTGGGGTCTAATAATGTATGAGTTAATTTATTTTTTTCAAGGGGACAACACCAATAGAAGAGAGACTAAGAAAAACTCATGCAAATCATCTTGATCACATAAGCTTTGCGGCTACAGAAAAAACAGAATGTAAAAAAACCTCCAGGAATTTCATATGCATTTAGAGTAAAAGTATCTTTATTAAATCACCTGGGGAGAAAGTATTTCAATACAGGGAGGCATATGTCCTATTCAAATCTCTCTTGTTCCTCAGATTTTTAGATAATTCTCTAAACATACAACACCCTAGTGGAGTTGGACAACTGTACAACAGTTGTGCTCCTGATGGAGCTTGTTAAATATTTTGTATTTCATCATTTAAATATTAGACATTATCAAACGTTATCATTGAACAGTTATGACCATAGTTTATTGTCATCAATACCCTTTCTCACTGACACTACACAAGAAAAATTATTAATTCATGCAGAGGGTCCTCTTTGCTCGCTGGCTAAATTTAAGTCACCTTTACAATATAGCTTTCAACATTTTCACAGAATCACCATGGTTGGAAGGGACCTCTGAGATCATCGAGTCCAACCTTAAAAAAACAAAAAAACCCACCAAAACCAAAACCCAAACAACAACAACCAAAAAAAAACAAAAAAAAAATCCAAAAAACCCAACAAAACCCCCCCCAAAACACAACACTCCACCACATCACACCCACCCAGAAACCAATAATCTCAGGCACTAGAGCATGCCCTGAAGAGCCATGTTCAAACAGTGCGTAATAAATGTACGTTTGGAGTTTATTCCAGTAGCAGAGGATCTCTCTCAGACTGGTTAAGAGAGCAGCTTTTGCAACTGAAACAAATCTGGGTGCTCACAAACTGTCTTTCCTCACTTGCAGCCCTGGCATATTCTCCACCAACTACGGCAGCAGATTCGGTGAGTGTCTCTCCTTCCTTTCCATCTTTCTCATTTCTTTAAAAGGTACATAGAAATCATGCTGTCTTCCCTACTTACAAGTAGAAGAAGGCTCCCCAGGTAATCAGTGAAGTATTTTAGGTGCCTTCAGGAGACAGATTCGTTTTGTTGAATGTCCATTCAACAGCTGGCTGAATTTTATTTATGGTCACCAGTATGCAAATGGCAATTATCACCAGTTTCTTTAGCTGCCCGAGTACTGACCAGTACTTTGTTAGTGTTTTTTAAAAAAGATTAATGTTTTGTATTTCTCTGCTTATGTTCCAGCCTTTTTCCCCTACGGAAAAGCAGTGTGACAAAAAAGTAAGAAATACAGGATCGCAAAACTCCAGCGGTTCTGAACAGGAGCAGCAGCGTCTCTTGGGAGCTTCTGGGTCCAGCAGTAGCTCCCTGAATAATCCATCCGGAGCTGCAAGAGTCGGGGAGATAAGTAACAAGAAAAATGAAAAGAAAGAAACCGAAGGATTTCAGCAGCAACATTTAGCTGCAGCAGGTTGTAAGCTTCACAGTGGAGACAGACACAACTCTGCGAGCTCAGGTAAGAAGGGGTCTGAATGATCCAGAAACTTTTTGAAATTCTGTTATCAATTATGAGCCTTTTTAGCAGAAGTTCAAATGGCAGGATAAAACATCAGCAGAGAGTAACTTTTGAAAAGAAAAAGTGATTGTTTTAAGTCATCGGCCAGAGACAGTAAAGAGAGAGTGGTCAATGGAGAAGAAGTTGTTTGCAGACGAGGGATCGGTGTGATGGAAGGCACTTACTGTGAGGGGGAGGAAGGGCCAAAGGGAGCAGCGAGAAAAGAACATTGTAAAAAGCACCTTGAAGTGGCCACAGGTGGGTAGGGAGTTGGCTGTGATCCAGGACTCTCTATTAATTTTTATGGCTTCTTTATTTCTGGGATGACATGAGGATTTTATAGTACCAAAAAAAAAAAATCCCTAAAATGCTACAGAACCAACTCCACCAGTTAACCTAAATTCAGTGAAGCCAGAAGATATTTAGCGTCTATTTTAAGTCAAAGAACTGGGCAAAGAGTCCAACCGTCCTCTTCTGGGCTTCATCCTTCCATGTTTAATGTGTTTTCTGTTTATTTGACAGAACATTCTGGTAACGGAGGAACGCAGGTGAATGTGACTTGTATTGTTAAAGTCTGTGGCCCAGACTGCAGTTCCCAGTTCCCAGAACAGACCAGTTCAACCAGCACGGCTTATGGGAACGCTCCCTATTATTCCCCAACAGGAGAAAAAATTCCCCTTTCGAAAGAAGAAAACCCCTTGAAAAAAACCCCTGAAATTCAGATTTCAGTGGAAAATGAGGACAATTTACTTCAAGACTTGCTTAAGTAAGAAATACAGGATCGCAAAACTCCAGCGGTTCTGAACAGGAGCAGCAGCGTCTCTTGGGAGCTTCTGGGTCCAGCAGTAGCTCCCTGAATAATCCATCCGGAGCTGCAAGAGTCGGGGAGATAAGTAACAAGAAAAATGAAAAGAAAGAAACCGAAGGATTTCAGCAGCAACATTTAGCTGCAGCAGGTTGTAAGCTTCACAGTGGAGACAGACACAACTCTGCGAGCTCAGGTAAGAAGGGGTCTGAATGATCCAGAAACTTTTTGAAATTCTGTTATCAATTATGAGCCTTTTTAGCAGAAGTTCAAATGGCAGGATAAAACATCAGCAGAGAGTAACTTTTGAAAAGAAAAAGTGATTGTTTTAAGTCATCGGCCAGAGACAGTAAAGAGAGAGTGGTCAATGGAGAAGAAGTTGTTTGCAGACGAGGGATCGGTGTGATGGAAGGCACTTACTGTGAGGGGGAGGAAGGGCCAAAGGGAGCAGCGAGAAAAGAACATTGTAAAAAGCACCTTGAAGTGGCCACAGGTGGGTAGGGAGTTGGCTGTGATCCAGGACTCTCTATTAATTTTTATGGCTTCTTTATTTCTGGGATGACATGAGGATTTTATAGTACCAAAAAAAAAAAATCCCTAAAATGCTACAGAACCAACTCCACCAGTTAACCTAAATTCAGTGAAGCCAGAAGATATTTAGCGTCTATTTTAAGTCAAAGAACTGGGCAAAGAGTCCAACCGTCCTCTTCTGGGCTTCATCCTTCCATGTTTAATGTGTTTTCTGTTTATTTGACAGAACATTCTGGTAACGGAGGAACGCAGGTGAATGTGACTTGTATTGTTAAAGTCTGTGGCCCAGACTGCAGTTCCCAGTTCCCAGAACAGACCAGTTCAACCAGCACGGCTTATGGGAACGCTCCCTATTATTCCCCAACAGGAGAAAAAATTCCCCTTTCGAAAGAAGAAAACCCCTTGAAAAAAACCCCTGAAATTCAGATTTCAGTGGAAAATGAGGACAATTTACTTCAAGACTTGCTTCCAGAAGAAGTTTCCTCTGTGTATTCAAGATGTGAAGATGAAAAGCAGTTAAAGGAAATTACAGATTGTTTACTGAGTGACTGATAAAATCAATCAAGTAACTCCTTATCTTCTCAAACAACCATGATGTTAAATGTAGCATTCCCTACAGAGACTTGACATTTCATACAAATACAGACACTGATGCTTTTGAGGTTTTAAATCTCTTTTTGTCCGCTTTGAGAGTCAAATGGTAATAGTTTAAATCTTTGCTTTTTCTTTTAAACTGAGCGGCCAACTCCTCCCTTTCTTCCATGATACCCTAGAGACACCTTTACCAGATTTTAAAAGGAACATTTTTCTAACTTAATGCCATTGATTTTTCTGCTGAGACTTCCTGTGATGGTAATTCGGGTTCAGGTTTGTCACCTGTCAAGAACATGGCTGTGACCAGCTCTTCTGAGAGACTGGAATTAAATTCATCATTCACTCAATGCTAATGAATTATCCATTTGATCTTAATTTTAGAGCTATTGCACTCTATTTCCTATCCCATATCTTCATGGGGATACTTTCCCTCATCCTCCTGGATATTTCTTTTATTATTACAGTTTGCTTTCACTCATTATTGGACGAAACTTCTCAAATCATCCTTTAGTATATCAAGGAATGAAATCTTTTACAGAACTTTTTTTACTAGATTACAATTATTACGTCTAAACAGTAGCATTTCATTAGCTGTACATAGTTCATTTTATTTTCGAAAAGAAAATCTACATTAAGCAGTTGTTATTTTGGAGCAGGAAATAAGTTCCTTTCATTGACAGCTCTAAAGTTTGTTATCTTTATGCTATGGGTGATTAAATATGCTTCCCTGGTTTTGACCTCATTTTTGAGGTTAAGCGTAAACCCAACATATTTTTGCCCCCGATCCAGTGAATATTAGAGAAGATCCACAGGAATACCTGTGCCAGATAGCTCACGCCCACTGACCTCAGGAAAAGGAGTCTCTCTTGGTGACTGCACAGCGTCATCTGTAAAACGTGGAATTGACTCAAACCTCAGAACCAGAAAATCCTGTTCTCCTTCACTTCTTGCTTGACACTGAAGATCCAACCACCTCTTACAGAAAATTAGTAGAGGTTCTCCTTGAACCCAGTGGGAGTCTTTTGGTTTTGGAAGTAAATTCTTAGGATCCCATCTCCCATAATTATATTTTATTTATTTGACTTAACCAACAGTTGTGACATCTGTATTCAACCAGAATTTGCAACAAGGTGTCTGAATTACATTTGAGTGAAGTCATACAGTAGGAATAACATTTTTCTTTTATGCCATAAAAACATACTTTTGGACTAGTTGATGGCCATACTTCCCTTCCAACTCAACTCTTTTATTCTACCTCAAGAGAAACAAAACGCAGCAGTTATTTCTGAGGCCTTAGACTGAAAAAGGACATTTTAGAATAGCATTTATTTGACAGCTACAGAAGAGAGAGAGATTTTAAAAATACAAATTTTAAACTTCCATAAAAGCTCTCAGGTTTACTAACATTATTTCTGGAACTAAGAACTGGCAAACACGTCTTTAATTCTGCTATGAAGAAACCTTTTACAACTGTGTATTACACTTGTACTCGAAAGTAGTTTTCACAGAAGACTTTGAAAATGGGCACATTATAACTATTACAAACTATTACAAAAGCTAAGGAATTAGGCAAGAAAAGACCCTCATTTTATATAGTGCTTTGAACCTCTTGCACTATTTTCATGTCCTGTTCATCAGGAATCGGGACCACATTGGAGCAGCAGTGACAGATTTTTGAACAAGTTTTAGAACTGTTAAACAGGGAGGATCTTGTTACAGCAGTTAATTTACTGTACTCTCAAATTATGGAGCTGTGTGACAGAAGGAAAAGCCAAGTTTTACGCTGAAGTAGGAAAAATGCTTGTGTTTGCTTATAAAAAAGAACCCTTCATTTTTATATTTACGTGCATCTTCAAGTTCCCTGATCTCCCCATTAAACAGGATTCTTACTTGTAGAATGGGTTCTTTCAAAGCTTCTGCTTTGCCATCAGTTTTGTTCCCGTTGTTGCCTCAGGCCGAGCGCTGCCCTGCGGGAGCGGACCCTCATCGCCCCCGCGCTCTCCCCTCAGCGTCCGTCAGCAGCGCCACAACCCTCACCTCCGCTGGGAGCACACGCGCCTCGGACGCTCCGAAGAGCCAAGAGACTTTATTTACTGCCGTTTGCACCGCGGCACGGCGGTTGTGGGGGCCTCTTCCCAGGAACCGGCCCGCACAGACGCTTCTGGCGGCGGCTCCCGCGCGGGCCCTGTCAGGGCGCGCTCCCGCCCCGCTGGCCGGGGCCGATCGTCCCCCTCGGGCTCGGCCGCCGGCGCGGGGCAGCGCTCCCCGGGCGCCCCTACAGGCGGCGGGGCGCAGAGCGGGACCGGCCCCCGGCGCGGCTCCGCCTCCGGGAGGCGGGCGAGGCGGAACATCGACAGCTCGGCGCTCCCCTACCCAGGCGTCCCCCCACCGGCTGGCTCGGGATCGATTGGCGTGCGGCCCGCCGAGCCCGCGCACTACCGAGGAGCGGCCGCCACCGGGAGCCCAGGTGGGTACCGGGGGGCTGGGGGCGCGGGGCGGCGCCGGGAGGGCGGCCCCGGGTCCCGGCGGTTGTCTCCTCCTGCCTCAGCCTCCGCTCCCAACTCGAGCCCGGCTGCATGGCGCGGGCCCGGCCTTGAGGGGCCCCTCCCTGCCTCACGCCCCTCACGGGGCTCCGCCCCGCCGTCCCGGCCCCGGGGGGCAGAAGGGCGGCCGCGCAGTCCCTTGTCCCTGCGCACCGGGGCCGGGTGACGGAGGGGAGATACCCCCTCGCCCCGTCGGGGCTGAGCGCCGTGTCTCCCCCCCGCGGCCGGGCCTCAGGGTGCTCTCCAGGCGCCCTCCCCGCCTGGCGCAGGCCGTTCGCCGCCGGCCCCTCGGTGGCTCCCTCAGGGCTCCCTCCGGCCGCCTCTGGGCAAGGTGACCTTTAGCTTCCACTCCGACAGGCGCTGCCTGCCAACAGGTCTCCTCTGCTCCCTGTCTCCTCCTCCCCACCGTGTGTTGGCTTGTGCGGAGGAGACAGAGAAGGCAGAGTCCCCTCAGGGCCGCTCCCGCCCTTTTTTGTGTCCCTGGGCTCTCACGATGCCCCCCTTGCCCTGACAGGCACCATCATCCCGGATCCCTTCCCTCCTGGCGCTGCCCCTGCCCGGCTGACACAGGCCGCTCCTCCAGGGCCTGCCTTGGCCACCCGGTTAGGAAAATCGAGTGGTTTTTCCAGAAAAAAGTGAGCTAGCTTTGAGTGAGGTCGTGGTTTGGACTTTGCTTCTCATCCTGATAAGCTTCACTGTTCCATTTTTGCTGTGTAAGTTCAGAAAATAAAAACACTGTGGTAGAAAATAAGTGTTTTGTTTTTCTTTCCAGTGGCACAGCAGTGGCCTAGAAAGTTACATATGTAAAAGCCTTAAAACATTTCGAAGATTCCCAAATAGTTATTTGTGTTGAACAAGTTCAGGTTAAAGTGGTGATTGATTTTATTTACGGTTCTTGTGGTAACTTCCGGCATGGAACTGTTCCTGCAGCGCAGGTTTTCGGTCACTGGGATGCTAACCTGGTCTGAATGTTTCTTCAAGGTCTTTCCTCTGATTTGGCTCCTAACACCTGTAGATTTCTTTTTTTATTTACTTATTTTTTTAAGGGTAGCATGACAATGATTGCTGTATTTGTTAGTGTTTGAACTTCAGCTTACTTGTCAGTTTGATTAGGATAAAAATATATATATAAAGTGGTCTCCCCCTGTGTACAAGTGGTCTTTGTTATGCGGAATAATACTCTTTATGAATAACGTTGAGAAATTTTACAAAGATAAAAACGTTAAACGTGTTTAATGTAAAGGTAGGCTTTTTTGAATGTAACATTTTGCATGACAGTATAGTTTCACTTTTCAGCCTTTAGAAAAAGCCATTTTTATTTGCATAATTCTGGTTATATTAACTGCATTAGTTAAATATTTTCACTGGCTATTTTTCAAAGAAATAAAGGTTTAAATGAGGGTGCCTAAAATCAAGCAAACCTCATTATGGGAAAACTGTGAATCTTAATATCAAATTTCAAATAGAATTCTTGAAGTTGTCATTTTCTTCTCGTCAGACATAAAGAAATCTGACATCTCCTGTTCTTCTGCTCCATAGAACTCAGCCTTAGGTACAGGGGTTTAGGGAGGGCTGTGGGGTTGGGGGGCTTTTCTAAACGCAGAACTGATACATTTACTGCATTCTAACCACAGGATACAGCCTGCATGCTTTTTTTCCTTGTATATGTCCTGTAATAACATGCTTGATCCTGCCCTTGCAGAAGCTAATAGTAGTTTTGCAATTCACTGGTTAAAAACTTGAAGAGGTACTTAGGGGTTTTAATGGTTTGATTACCACATAGGTTGAAACAGAAATGGCTGAAGAAGAGTATGAAGGGAAATATTTATGTGTATGACAAGTGTTGCTTTTCTGCTGTAGCTTTTTTCCCCCCCTCCTTGATGGAGTTCTCTCTGCTATCACTTGGAAAAGCTGTTAGAGTAACTGTTGATGAGCTATTTATGGGACTTGTATCCGATTACTTCTCACACATACACCCTTCCCAAAAAAGGGGTGAGTTGTTTCTCAGATGTCGTATAAGAATTCTACAAAAACACAGTTGAAGGCTCTGGGCTGTTACTTTAGACCAAAACCAGAATGTTGGCAACTTGGAGAAAAGACTGGCAGCAGAAGTCGAGGAGGCCAGTGCAAAACTACTTCAAATAAATGTGGAATTTTAGTCCTCCCTTTTCTGGAAAAGGATTGTAGATTGGCCTTGTTGATTTTAGCAACAAAATGCGGTGTTTTGGTTAGAAAAATGAGCTTAATTTGCCAATGGGAGTGATGTATAGTCATTAAAACTCCATGTGAAATTCTGATTTGAGAGTTAAAGGGCATAGCATAAAGCGCTTTTTTAAGGTAGAAATCAAGCTTAATGTTTTTCCTGCTTTTTAGATTGAGTACAGTAAGAATTAGAGTGATAGCAATATGTCAGCTCTGCTGAGAGAGTGTATTTCAGACAACCATTTTCTTCATTATTTTTTTTCTCTCAGAGTGACACTAACTATGGAACAGAAATCCAGAAAATGACAGAAAAACATTAGTTGCTCTCTTCTACGACAGTCATGTTGGAAGGATTGGTAGCCTGGGTCCTCAACACCTATTTGGGCAAATATGTCAATAACCTGAACACAGACCAACTTTCAGTTGCTCTTCTAAAGGGTAAGAATTTGGGGTATTTTCTGTAGTGTTTTCATACTGTGATTTTAAAAAAAAGTTGATGTGTTTTTCTAATAACTGGAAGGTGGAATAGAAACAGTCAATATTGTGTTTAATGTTTATATAAATCCATTTAATATAGAGTTTTGTGCTGGCACTTTACAATGAGTAGTAAATTCTCTTTTGTTCCTATCTTTGTTGCTTTTTATCAACACTGTTAAACCAATTTATATGAAAATTTCAAAAGTATGCTCAGCATATCTTATCAGCGTGTTTTATTTATATAATATTTGAGCATAATTTTTCTTAATACTGTTCAGTAACTTTCCTGTTGAGGGACTGTGGCAGGAAATATTCTGTAGTCTTTACCTCTTATGTTTTGGTGCTGGTAGTTACACCCCTGTCATGAAGACTTCTGGTTTATGTTATATCACGTTATGTTCACAACTCTTGTACTTTTACAGAGTTCTCAAATCAGTACTTTCTAATTTACCTTTTGCTGCTATTATTTGCTATTTTTTGAGAGAATATTTTATAACTCTTCAAAGCTTTTCTGTGCATGCTTTTTGTAATATTGAGAAAATACTTGAAGTATCTCTTTTTCAAAGACAAAGAGGAGAAGCTTTCTCCTTGGTTACAATAAAGTTCAGATTTAGAACCTTGCAGAAGATTGCTTCTAGGTGATCTCATCAAATAGTTTGAGCATATGACATTGGAAAATTAACAAGTATATTAAATAACTATTGCAATTGCAACACAGCTTGAAGTGGTATGTTGGCTGTTCTCATGAAATCCTATTTGATTTTTTTTTTCTTTAAAATATGATGCTGGTCATTTTAGGCTAGTAATGTTCAAGCTGGTGTTCTTTAATGTAATTTTGTTTAACAGACTTGTCTTTTTTCTGCTTTGCGTAGGTGCTGTTGAATTGGAAAACTTGCCACTAAAGAAAGATGCCTTGAAGGAACTGGAATTACCATTTGAAGTAAAGGCAGGTTTGTATTTTGTTTGGGTGTGCAGGATGAATATTTATAAACAGGAAGTATTGCATATTTTGGAAGAATCTTAACCTGTGAGTCAGAAGCTTGAACGAATGAGGTAACCTGGTTTTCAGGTAATCTACTTCTATTTTAGCTTGTTTGTTTCTTACACCACTTTTTCTTGCAGGTTTTCCAAGGGTGATAAAGTATGTTTACACGAGAATCTGATAGCATCTCTCTTTTGTACATCTAGGTTTCATTGGCAAAATAACACTACAGATACCTTTTTACCGCCCACATGTGGATCCCTGGGTGATATCTGTCTCAAAACTGCACTTAATCGGTGCACCCGAAAAAAAAGAAGATTTTGAGGAGGAAAAGGAGAAGTTCCAAGAAAGAGAGCACAAGAAAGCCCTTCTTCTAGCACTTGAAGAAAAATGGAAAGTGAGTCACACTTGTCTTTCATGGTGACAAAACCTCTATGGTAGATGGATGGCATTTAAGTCACTTAACAAGTAGGAGAATGAACGCATAGGAAACTGTTAGAATTTTATTTATACAAGCTAACAGGGCAATTTCTGCCCCCCCGTCATGTCGTGTGTCCCACATATGTTGGAGATACTGAAATCTTGGGGCTTTTTTCCCTTTCTCCCTGTTCACAGTAATTTCAGTATAAGAAGGTATGTTGTTTCCTGACCAGTGTTTCAGTGGTGGTTAATGTTTATCCCTATTTTGTCT